CAATGGAGTCGGCCCCTGCGGCAGACGTCATGTCCAAGTTTACTTACGGCCTTTGGTCTTGGCACCGACAAGTCTCCACTCGACTACCCGCCACAGCACCACGTTCGAGACCTCAGCACACTCTTTTCTATTACACACGGAGCGCCTCTGGCGGCGCTGTCTCTGAAAACATTTTAAATGTGGGGTTCTACACCCCCTCCCTGAAGGGTTGAGGGGAGGAGACGAGCCAATTAGGGTGCAGGGTAGCAACGATGAAACATAACTTTCCTCTAGTTCTTAAATGCTTCCCCCCCCCCCCACTATCATGATACCAATTCTACCTACAAATCTGGCTAGACCAGAGGATGTACACTGGTACAGATAGGAACTGGAAACACAGGGAATCCAGTACAGATGACTCCTTCAGGACCAGTGGTGAGAGGGGCGGTGCTTGGAGGGTGGAGGGAATGTGGGGTAGAAAGGGGGAACCAATTACAAGAATCTAAGTATTGCCTCCTCCCTGGGCGATGGACAACAGAGAAGGGGCAGGGGAGTCATCAGACAGTGTAACTTATGACAAAATAATAATAATTTGTGAATTATGAAGGGTTCATGAGGGAGGGGGAGAAAGGAGAGAGGGGGGAAATGAGCAGCCGATATTAAGGGCTCAGGTGGAAAGCAAGTGTTTTGAGAATGATGAGGGAAACAAATGTACATATGTGCTTGACACAACGGATGGATGGATGGATTATGACGAGAATTGTACAAGCCCCCAATAAAATAATTGTTTAAAATTGGGGGTTCTACAGGGAGGATGGCTGGTAAAAGGACAACAGTGCTGGCAGAGGACAGCAACAAACAGCGGGGAAGACTAAGTCAAGGTCAGGAAACGGAAACTGGCTGGCTTTTCAGGACCTTGGCTCCCTACAGTGCTGCTTTGTGACTCTCAGAGATCTCACGTGACACATGCAGGCTCAGAATCCAGGAACAAGGAGGGTGCCGACTCTCCGTTTGATGCAATATCATGACATAATAGCCTGCATCACGGAAACAGCACCAGGTACTCAAACTCGGACCCACACCTACCAAGCTCCCTGCCATCAAAGCAGAGTCCCACTAAGAGCCACCCTATGGGGCTCCTTAAACTCTCCCCCAAAGGTACAAAGTTACTTGAAGGAATGAGCCACAGAAAGCAGACTGGGCATTGTGCAACACAAATACAGCCATTTGTTCAGCAGGAAACACATCCATCTACTTACGAAGGTGGGGAGATCAATAAACAATACTCTGAACATGCAGAATGTCAGTCTGGTATTCAGATCAGTTTAAAAAAAGATCAAAAGCAACACCCTTTGATTAACAAATTGTAATACTGAGTACTTACTCGGTGCCAGCCACTGTTAGGAGCTTTGCATAAATTCATGCCCCCCCAAAAAAATCATAACATTGTGAATGAGGGGGAGTGCACAGTGGGGACCCAGGGCCCATCCGGGGTAAATTGGACATCCCTTGCAGAAGGGCTGTGGGGAGGTAAGGAGCAAATCGGAGTGCGGTATAGTAACGATAAAATATGCAATTTTCCTCTAGTTCTTAAATGCTTCCTCCCCCCCACGACCATGATCCCAATTCTACCTTACATATCCGGCTGGACCGGAGGATGTGCACTGGCACAGATAGGAACTGGAAATACAGTGAACCCAGGACAGATGAACCCCCCCAGGACCAGTGGAGAGAGTGGGGATGGCGGGAGGGTGGAGGGAAGGTGAGGGAGAAAGGGGGAACAGAGGACAAGGTCTACATGTGGCCTCCTCCCTGGGGGACAGACAGTGGAGAAGTGGATGAGGGAGACGTGGGATGGGGTAAGATATGATAAAATAATAATAAATTATAAATTATCGGGGGGAGGGGGAGGGGGCAACGGGGAGGGAGGGGGGGAAATGAGCTGACACCAAGGGCTCGGGTGGAAAGCGGGTGTTGTGAGAATGATGAAATCAACATATGTACTAATGTGCTGGACACAGATGACGTATGTACGGATTGTGATGAGTTGTACGAGCCCCTCATAAAATGATTATTTAATTTAAAAAAAGAGAGTCACTTCCTGTTTACAGATTTATTCCACACAAAAACAGTTGTGCACCTACTCTTTGGTAGCACTGGCTCTGGGGTGGAGGAGCCCTGGTGGCGTAGTGGGGACAGCTAGGGCCCCTAACCCCAAGGTCGGCAGTTTGAAACCACCAGCCCTGCCACAGGGGGAAGATGAGACATTCTACCCCTGTGAAGAGTGTAATCTTGAGAACTCACAGGGCCAGTTCTACCCTGTCCCACATACAAGTGAATCACCTAGATGGTAGTACGGAGAGTTTGGCTCTACGGCGATGTAAGAGAAATAGGTTTTATCTGATTTCTTTATAACTTGGATCACCAAGAACCTCAAAACATGTACCAAACAAATATTTCTATTTTATCTAGCGGCAAAATCTCCTTCTCCTATCAGGACAGTGTGATAGTTGGACAATGGTACTTAGTGTACACGTCACACAGTAGTTGGTTAGCTCAGGGGTCATTTCATTATTGGAACAAGACCCTTGCAAGTGCCCAGAGGGAGTGGAGGCCCAGCATGTGCAGGAGCATATATTTTCCTTACAGAAAATCCATCCTGGAAGTTCTGACTCTTTAGTTCATTGTCTAGCCAAATACACCCCCAAAGCCATTTCCTCAAAACACAAGAGTGTTTTGTTTGTGTCGTGTTGTTTTTCCCAATAATGAAATGACAAAAGAATTGAAATTGGATTCCGCCCCCCCCCCTGAATTTATAGCGTATCGTTCTGCAAACGCTTCTACAAATCAGCACCCCCTTGGGTTCCCCCAGACAGGCAAGTTCCTGCCTCGTCTATTTTTATCCTGACTGCACAGAAAAGCGGCAGCTGCCGGCTGCAGAGCGGCCACTCCAGTACTGAACACAGAGGCTGCTTTCTTGCACTTGGAGAGATAGGTTGTTTCTGGAAGTGGTGGGGACAGAATGCCTGAAACACGGAGTGGCTTTGGACGCACTTCTGATGCTGCTGGGGTTTAAACGGCGTTGCTACTTGACTAGACGGGTGATTCTGGACCAGCAATCGACACACGTCCACGTTTATGGGGACAACAATAAAGGGGGCGCACAAATCCTCCTGGGTGTGCAATCCAACTGTGCTCTCAGAAATCTGAGGGGGGATGAGATGCAAGCAAGGGTTTCTCTGTAGCGCACACAAGGAACTTTCTTAGCCCTAATCATAAACGTACTAAATACGAAATCTATGTAAGTCGACAGTCCCTGGTTGTGGTGCAAACTGCTTGTCCTTGGCCACTAAGCAGGAAGTCAGTAGTCCAAATGCACCCAAGGCCTGGTCGTCTGGTTCCTTACAGAGTAAGGCCCAGGAAACCCCAGGGAGCAGTTCGATTCTGTCCCAGGGCATCGCCATGAGCCGTAAAGTTAAAGTCGGGTGAACAAGGCCCTCCTGGCGGAGGGCAGGAGAAATATTCCTGGCCTCAACAATTGCCACAGGACCTCTCCCCGACCCCGATCCAGTCACAAGTTCTCCGTCTCCCCGGGATGGGTTTTCCCAGGTCTCCAGCAGGCACGTCCTCAAAACCATTCCTTGTGTCCATTCATGCCGTATAACGTCTCCTCTGAAAGTAACTTCAACTTTGGACCCACAGGCATTCCTTCACACACTGACAAAAGAGTTCTCTCTTTGAAGACCTGCATTTCATTTCATTATATTTGCTTTCCACAAAACGCAAAGTGAAAAAAAAGTCTCCCCCCCACCCCCTGCCACTCATGCCACCCCTGTGTGTCTTCTGGGTTCATTATAAAAATTAAAACATGTGACAGGCATCACGTGAGGGTACTCATTAGGGTCCCAGTATCACAGAGTTGCAGGGCAAGTTCAAGTCCACCCGCCGGTCACTCTAGACCAGCGGTTCTCAACCTGGGGATCACGACCCCTTGGGGGGTCATGACCCCTGGGGGGGTTGTCAAAGGATCCTTTCACAGGGTCACCGGATTCATAACAGTAGCAAAATTACAGCTATGAAGTAGCAACGAAAATAATTTTATGGTTGAGGGGGTCACCACACATGAGGAACTGTAGTAAAGGGTCCAGGCGTGAGGAAGGTTGAGAACAGCTGCTCTAGACAAAGGGGTGATGTTGCAGAAGGAAACCACTTCGATGCGGTGTCAACGACCGCCCATCACAACCATTCCCTTCTCTAGCAGGCCTTCCTCCGAGCCGGATCCTGGAGGGGGAACAAGCACTGCGCTCACAGACTTCTGCTTTTGGTAAACAGCTGAAAAGTGGGTACTTTCTATTTTAGCAAAGCCATGTGCACACAGCAACTAAAAACAGCATGATCAGTGCTAATAACACTAAGTAAATACATAAAATAATATTAATAAAAATTATGGTGCTCAGGTGCGATGCAGCAACGATGAAAAATACAACTTTCCTCTAGTTCCTAAACGCTTCCTCCCCCACCCCACCCACCCCACCATCATGATCCGAATTCTACCTTGCAAGTCTCGCTAGACCAGAGGAGGTACACTGGTACAGATAGGAACTGGGAACACAGGGAATCCAGGGCGGATGAGCCCTACAGGACCAGTGGTGTGAGTGGCGATACTGGGAGGGTAGAGGGAGAGTGGGTTGGTAAGAGGGAACTGATTACAAGGAACTACATATGACCTCCTCCCTGGGGGACGGACAACAGAAAAGTGGGTGAAGGGAGACGTCAGACAGTGCAAGATATGCAAAATAATAATTTATAAATTATCAAGGGCTCATGAGGGCGGGGGGAGCGTGGAGGGAAGGAAAAAATGAGGACCTAATGCCGGGGGCTTAAGTGGAGAGGAAATGTTTTGAGAATGAGGGCCATGAATGTACAAATGCGCTTTACACAACTGATGTATGTATGGATTGTGATCAGAGTCTTATGTGCCCCTAATAAAATGATTTTTTAAAAAATTATGGTGCTCACTGGCGTTCACCAAGGCTTGGTCCTTCTTACATGGTCCCGGCCTGCCCGCGTGAGCAAGAGAAGGAGGGCTGGTTTGGGGGTGTCCTGTCCAAGTGGCCCCAGGACTCCACGGGTTCCAGGCCAACAAGCGTAAAAAAATTAAAATATGGTTTACTAACATTTGATTTCAAAGATACTCATGCGCTATCCATCCTTAACGCCTGTGCTTTTAACACCCCTTTTCCTTCCATACTTTTAAGAGGAAAGAGAAGACGGTGCTTGGGATTTCAGGTGGCTGATCTCCCCTCTGCCAGCCTCCCACAACGCTGGGCCTGGGCCAGCCAGGATATGCCTGGAACCTCTCCTGTTCTTTCTGTTTCGCTGCGCTGGAGTCCTGTCAGGTGCAAGGTTCTATGAGTATGCAAGTCTGCCACAGGAAGGAAATCACACTGAGTCATACATAGCCAGGCCCGTCTCCTCTCCTGCGATCACAATGAAAAACAGACAAAAGCTGACCTCACATTTTAAATACAAAGGTAAGTGGAAGTCTGGGGTGCAGAGTTTGTCCGCAGCAGCTGGGTCTGCCCAAAGAGGACAGATGTCTGTAATACAGCCAGGCCCACGCCAGAGGTTAGCTGGTACCCATCACGAGCCCCCAGGGAAAATGCTGACCAGGACATATAACTGCACTGCAGTTGCCTTCCTTCCCAATCTGCACCTTCGAGAAAACCTGAAAATGGGTCCGAACATACACACCAAGGCTGAGTAGACCTGCCATGTTTCCCGGGAGGGTCTCAGCAAGAGTCAGCCCCAGGCTAGTTAATCTTGGAGTTGCCCCGAGAAAGAACCGGTAGAGTCCACTGTTCTATTCACGCCATCTTCCATAAAGGAACACATTTCTTGAGGGGATAAGGCAGGAAGGAGAACGTCCACCCCTCAGGCCATGTAAGGCGGAGGAAATCATCAATAGCAATGAGTATCAGTCGCCACACGTAGGAGAAGCCATTCCAGCCACCACACTCCCAAACTCACTGCCATCCAGTCGGTGACCACTGAGAGCAACCCGATAGGACAGGGTAGAAAGTCCCTTGTGGGTTTCCAAGACGGTAGCTCTTTAAGGGAGTCCAGAGCCCCATCTTTCTCACACGGAGCCGCCGAAAGGGGGTTTTGAAATATTGACCTTGCAGTTAGCAGCCTAACACTCAACCCCTGCACAACCAGGACTCGGAGCCATTATACTGGAGGTGAGTTCATGAAATATCTGAGCAAATAGAGCAGGCTATTTTTTACGTGGATAATGTTGTCTAATCCTCAAACGATGTTATAAATAGCCAAATGGCCTTTGGGAGGAAAAAGGCTCCCCACCCCTGGTAGAAGGGGAGAAGTGAGAACAACAAGATAAAAGTGCAGCAGCCGTAAACCGTGAAACCGAAAGTGGCCATGGGAAAAATCGATCTCAAGGAAGTAATGGATGGAACTATGTTCCCAAACAAGGCATGTTCAAGTCCTAACTCCGGGTCCTTGCGACTGTGCCCTTGTTTAAACTGAAGTGTCTGAAGATGTTCTCGGTTAACACGAGGTCCCCCTGGAATAGATGAGGTCTCACCTCAATCCTCGCTACGTGGTGTCCCGTAGAAGGAGTCACCACCTGTCAGTTTGTCCCGCTGTGGTGGCTTGCGTGTTGCTCTCGTGTTGGAAGCTCTGTCAATAGTATCTGAGAAATACTAGCATGTGAGGAATGTATCACAACATATAGTAACATATTGAAATGTACATAACATAATATAGAACTGTGTGATATATATTATTACAGAAATGTATAGTAATATATAGTAATGCTATAAATACATAGTGAAACACAGTGAACCCTCGTTTACCGTGGTTAATCGGTTCTAGACCCTACCGTGATAAATGAAATTCCGTGAAGTAGGATTCCTTATTTGTAAATCAAATATTTTCATAGTTAGAGCATAGAGGACATGAAAAAACACCCTTTAGTCACCATGACACTCGTATTACCCAATTTATTAAACGAAAAAGGGAAAATACAGTAAAACATTTTGGATGTTACAATTATCATTTATTATATTATTTATGGCATCAAGCGTGTACAGTATGAGCCAATCAGTGGCAGTCATGACAGAGCATGCGCTGTTACGCAAAAACCGCGATAGAGTGAAGCCGCGGAAGTCGAAGCGCGAAGTGGCGAGGGTTCACTGTATATAGAAATATTTGAGAAATACTAGCAGGGTCACCCGTGATAGACAGGCTTGGGGGAGCTCCCAGGCTAAGACAGACTAGCAAAGAGGGCCTGGTGATCTACTTGCAGGAATTAACCAATGAAAACCCCGTGGATCTCAACAGTAGACTGACACAGCACTGGACGGTGAGCCTCAAGGTTGGAGGCACTACTGAATGGCCACAGGAGACTCCAACGTTACAACCACCATGAAGATCGTGCAGAACCAGGCAGCGCTTCCTTCTGTGAAACGCCGGGGCAGTATGAGCGGTCCAGCCACCAACATCAACAGGAAAGAGGGGAAGAGACATGAAGACCTGCCAGGTGGGGAAACTTCACCTGCAGGTGGAACTATGCTGCTTCCTCAAGCCCTGGGTCCCCTGGGCGGGGCAGAAGCTGGGAGAGACCGGGAAGGGTCTTCCCCCAGAGACTTCCCAGAACACAGTGGTTCTGTTGACCCCCTGAATTCAGACTCCTGGCTGCCAGAATTATGAGACAAGAAATCTCTGTTCTGATAAGCCACCTACCTTGTGGTGTTCTGTGACAGCCACTCCAGGCAGCTCTAGAAATGATCATGAAGACGGTAATTCATGAAGACTTGTAACATCAGAATCAAGTAGGATAAAATTTGAAATGGGAAGAGCTAACCTGTGAATGGGGTTGAAGTAAAATCTACTTAAGAGACTTTCTATACACAACGTATAGTCAAGTCAACTAAACACACGGCACGGCCACCGGGTGGATTCCTAGCACAGCCACCCAGGGGAAGGTTTCCAAGACATGGATCTTCACGGAAGCAGCCAGCCTCAGCTTTCTCCCAGGAAGTGGCTGGTGGTTTGAACCAATGACTTGGCAATTAGCAAGCTAATAATGCCTAATCCACAGCACCACCAGGCCTTCCTAAAATAGTCCAGCAGTGGGTATCAAGCAAACAGATTTTACTTCCTTGGAGAGATTTTTTAAATTATTTGTTATTTTGCAAGAATTCCTTTACAGGATTGTTTTTCTTTGAGATCGTAGCCCTCATCAAAAGCAAGTCCCTGCCCCTTCACTCAAGTGATTCTCTTAAAAACCTCAACTATAACAGAAGCATTACACCACTCATGACTAACTTGGAAATTCACTACAATCTGTGTTTATTTTTCTTCATCGCTAAATATTTGAATTTTTTTTTCTTTACTGAAATTCGAGAAGGACCCAGAGGCAAACAGTCAAAACACAGGTGAGAAACGAGCCGAAGCCAACGGGCTCCTGCTTGGTTTTCGTGCCAGCCTGCCTGGGTTTAACGTCCAGCTCTACTCTTCAATGGCTGGGTGGTCTCTGGGCACGATACTCAATCTCTCTTCGCTTCTGGGGAGCCCCGGTGGCTGTGAGTCAGCACTGACCCCATGGCAGTGAGTGAGTTGTTTCTGTGGGACATTAATAGTCACTAGTCCACAGCGTTGTGAGAACTCTTACAACTGATTCTGCCATGTGCTGGGTGCTAACTAGGGCCGACTAGTGTAGCTATACTAAGAGCCCTGGTGAGCGGGTGCCGTGTTGGGCTGCTCACCACAAGGTCGGCAGTTGGAAACCACTAAAGGCTCTCTACTCAACCCACAGGGACCGTTCTCTTCTGACCTACAGGGTCACTATGGATCGGAGCAGACGTCACGACAGTGGGTTTTTGAGAGTCCTGGTGGGGAGGCGGTGCTGTGGTGGGCCGCTCTTCCCCTCTCAGCTGCAGAAAGACGGGCTTTCTACCCCCGCACACAGTTCCAGTCTCCACCCCAGCACACAGGTTTCTACCCCCCCACACAGTTCCTGTCTCAGAAACCCACAGGGGGGTCACTATGAGTTGCCACTGCCTCGATGCCAGGGAGTTCGGCCGGGGTTTGTAAGAG